TCCAGATAAACTAAAACCTTTGCATGTGTCAGAGGTATATTTTTCATGTTTTGCCGAATATACCAATGCACTTAATATTGATGCTGCTAGTGATGCCTCCTATCATGTCATTTAATCATACAACAGTCTTAGAGCAGTTTATTTTTGTTCATGAAATTTCTGAGAATGCCAGGACCTCAACTGTAAATGATGCCATGGTCGGTATTAACTTATGACACAATTTGCAGGTTGCACGTGAGTTTCATCCTAATTTTGCAGCGAAATGGAGGAGGTACATGTATATTTTTCCTCTTGATGAGGATGCTAACTTGATCTTAGGGAAAGCACAGTCCTCAAAAATACTAGAGAATTCTGAACACAACATAAAACCTCAAAGCTTTGATGTGGCTAAGGTTGACGAAATTCTTAAAACTCTTGCTGGAAAGACATTATCCTACAAGATGTTTGCACGTGATACGCAAGCTTCACGAAGTGTGTAAGTTTCATCCAATCACAAGTTCCTAACATGTGCATTTATAAGTACAAAAATGGGTTCTTACAGATTAATCACTAGCGGTTTTATTTCCTGATCCTGGCATAGATGTTCATCAGAACCATATGAAAATTGGCAGCATTTTTTTTTCTCGAAAGAGAGTTATGTATCTTTATATTAAGAAGAAAAAGGGGCAAGAACCCTTACAACACACACCCACACCCATGTTTCTGAGATTACATTCGTGCCCTTCTCTGAAATTGTCTACCATAGTCATCACTACCTGGCAATATGAGTGGGAATGCATTCCTCTATGTTGGCACTTGTTCTCGAGGTCATTAAAGTCACCACTTGTCTCGATGCTCTATTGTTTTTTCAGTGGCCCACCTACAGAATGTTTCATGTTCCATTCCCGAGCTGCAGTGGCCAAACTACATTCTGCTAATGAGGTGAGAGCAGATTATTTTGTCTCTATTGTTCAATGGTATGCATTTATCAACTGAAGAGCTATGTAGCGTTTGCTTGCTGTGAGTTACTCTACAAATGTGTTGCAGCGTAACACTGGTGCGACAAATTTATTTTTTTGCTGATCCCAGAACAAATGAATATCTGACTAAACCTGGATTGTTAGTTACCACTATTGAATATTTTGATCTAATACTTTCCATACCACCTACATATTTATGGTTTCAACTGAAAGTATTATGTTTGATTTTTGTTTCCCCTTCTCAGGATTACAAAGAAGGTATGATGGTCATGTGTGTTGAGCTAGTTGCTAACAGGTTTCTACGCAAGGTAATACAGCAAGCTATGATGTGACCTTTGGCCTACCTCGATCATCATATGACTACTTGTTCTCACTATATTTCAATGTACAGATGGTCAGGGTTCTTGTTGCCACTGCCATAAGAGAGGCTGCTGCTGGTGCTGGTGACGATGCTTTGCTGAACCTAATGGAAGCCACTGACAGGCGTGCCACAGCACCTCCGGCGCCGCCAGAGGGCCTCTGCCTCGTAGATGTTGGTTACGAAGATTTTAATAAACAGAGGTGCTTCATAGTTGATTAAAGAAACTATTCTTTCTAGGGGTGACTGTGTCTGCATTTGAGTGTTTGTCCGTGCCGTTTCTCGCAAAAGGAAAAAGAGTGAAAGTTATTCCATATCTTTTTGTTAAGAGGAATACAAGATGCACGGTTGAACAATTGAGGAATTTGGTTACTCAAGGTTGCGGACAAGATAACAAAGCCTCTCGGTTTAGATTTTGGCCCTATATCTACATGTTTGTTCACTCCGAACATGACCTATTCCGCACCATTCTTTGTATTCACCAATCGAAATTTTGAAGCTGGCTTATAGTAGAGAGCAGTAACGTTGGGCCCATGCTGAGGTGGAAATCAAATTGAAACATATAGGATTTCTGAAGTTAGCACCGCAATTATCTGTCAGGTTTGCACTTGAGTAAATAATTGCATAACCTGATTATCTGTCAGGTTTCCACTTTGAGCGAATAGTTGCATAACACGACGCAGGTGTTTTTTTTTGTCAGCAGCTCCTTTCGCTGTGTATGTTTTTTTTGTAGCACCAACGACCGGACGCCTGCGTCTGTCCAGACGTCCGCGGCTGCTCCGCTCCGTCGCTCTCGGATTCACGTGCCGCCTGTGCCAGCTCTGTTTCCTGCGCTCGCATTCCGAACTGCCCGCTTCAGATCAGCTGCCCACGCTGCTCGGATGACTCGTCCCCACCTCTTCCACTCCGGCGTGATGCCCGTCTCTTCCAGGCCGCCCGGAAGACTCGCCCCCGCCTCTTCCACAACAACACCACATGGCCTGTGCCTCCTCCCCACACCGCCGGTGGCGGCCTGCGCCTCCTCCATGCGTCGGTGGCCGCGGCTTAGCCCTGCCCACGCTCATGGAGATCAACGCCAGCGGTCTGCACTTGCAACATGAAACATTCGAGTGCAACATACATTTGAAACAGATGAAACATTTGAGACATACACTTTGCAACATGTGTGTGAAACATATGCAACATCCTGATAAAACAATTGCAACATGAAAAAACACTTACTGCAACATAATACTGAAATAGTTGAAACATTTGGAACATACTGTTGCAACATATTTGTGAAAACATATGCAACATACAGGATAAAAAACGATTGCAACATATGTCTTGAAACAGATGAAATATTTTGAACAAACACTTGCAACATGCTTATAAAACACTTGCAACATATGCAACATCCATTGATATACTTTTGCAGCATCCATATATAAGAAACAACTACAACATACCTTTGAAACGATTGAAACACTGAAATATACATTTGCAACATTGGGGAGGGGAAGCCTAGGCCGGTCGATTCCAGTGGCGACGAGCGGTGGCGCATGAGCACCACCACCACCACCAGTGTCGGGCTTGGGTCGGCGACGACAGGGGGGGGGGGCGAGGAGCGCCATGGTCGCCGAGGTGGGGGAGCTCGGTTGCTGGGGTAAGAGAGGGTGCCGCCGAGGGTGGGGAGGTGCCGTGCCGAGGTGGAGGAGAGTCACCCACTTCCCTGCAACACCGCCGCGCCACCTCCATGTATCTCACCATGGACGAGCTCATTACTAGAGAGGACACTCCCACTAGGAAGGAGTTCACGAACGAGGAAGAGTGAGGAACCCGATCAGAGGATCCATGCTGCGCCACGCGGGGCTCAAGTGTTGTCATCTTGAAGGGCTACTGCGCTATGAGAACACAAGAGAGAGAGAGAGGGAGGGAGGGAGAGGTCAACGAGTGTAGTTTTGGTGAATACTTGTGGGAACTAGAAAGAGGTTGATGTGTGATGAAAAATGTGGATAAAAATGAGTGGATAGGGAGGAGAGAGACCGATGTTAAGAGAGCGTCAGGCATGCGTCTGACATTTTAATGGCGTCCGGACGCTCGTACAGTACCATTACTGATGTTTTTTTCGTTCTCTAGCTGTTTTCCGACCTGACTATTGTGCTACATCGAGTTTCCCGCTGTACATTCGGTAAATGGTGTGTGATGCGAACATACTGCAATTCTGCAATGTGCAGGAATACTTCATGCATGTCGTTTCCAAGTGACCAAGCCATGTTGCTGTTATTTAGTCGGCTATTTTTGGTTGCTACGAGTCGCCTATTTGTAATTTGTGGTCCTTTTTAAAAAATATAATTTGGTAGTGTACTTTTGATGCTCTGTCATGCATGTCATCAACTGATTAGAATTTTCCGAGAAGGAGGTCTCAAGCTCTAAGGTATTTTCCTTCGGATATAACTAGAACGCAAGTGACAATCAAGACACTGATGCTTTCCTTCAGATATAACTGGAACGCATGTTTCACATTGCTGATTATACGATCTCACTAAAAAAGTACTCCCTCCATCCCAAATTGTAAGTCATTCCAAAAATCTTGGAGAGTCAAAGTTTTTCAAGTTTGACCAAATTTATATAACAAAATAATAATATTTATCATACCAAGTAAGTATCATTAGATTCTTCATTAGTTATATTTTCATATTATACCTATTTGATGTCATCAATCTTTGTGTTTCTCTCTATAATTTTAGTCAAATTTGAAAAAGTTTGACTCTCCAAGATTCTTGGAATGACTTACAATTTGGGATGGAGGGAGTATTACAGAAGTTGTTTTTTGAGCAAACATCATCTCCACTGGAGAGGAGAGGAAGGCAACAACAAACTGCAAACACAATGTTTAGTGGGTGTTTGGGACTGCTGCGCTCCATGTTTTTTAACTCTGCTTCATGTTTTTTAGCTAAATGGTTTCAGCTCCACGCACTCTATCTAGAAAAAAGGGGTAAAATTATGAAAGATGTGCTCCACAAACTCTAGTTTTTTATAGAGCTGCCCACGATGAAGTTTGTGGAGCAGTCCAAATACCCCTTTAATAACAAACACCACAGTATATATAGCAAGAAAACCCCCAAAAACGACACGGTTGATTGACACGCGCGCCACGAAACAAAGTACCACCAAGATCTCCAGTTCTGCTCTTTGCCTTTATCACCTGTCACCAAACAGTCGCAAGAAAAGGGTTGTGCAATGTAATAATCTAATATAAACTAAAGTTACTAGATTTGATCATTAATTTGATTTAAGTATAACTAACACACCAGCACTAGCCTCTACATGTCTGTATCTTCAACTGATGGACAACTGAGATGAAACTGCACTAGTGCGGTTTTGGACAACTAATTCGCAAAAAGACAGAAAATCGACAAGCAAATTAGAAAGACAGATGTAATGCAAATTTGAAAACGACAGATTGCAAATATGTTTTGACAAAACTGTGCCAGACGAACTTCGAAAGAGATCCCTAATTTGATTATAATTGTCGACTGAGAAACAGTTTGAAGTATGTATGAACGAGCTAGAATTTGCGTCAAAAAAGAAAATCGGACGGACTAGCTAGAACAAGCGATCTACGTACTCCTATATTATACTATGATGATAGATGCGCAGGATCATCGATCTTCCAGAGCGCAGAGGCCACGGCAACCACACTAGAAGTCCCAGGCATTCTCGCGGCGCACCTCGTCCTCCTCCTCGGGCGTGAATTCGCTCGTGATCCCGAGCGTCTTTCTTATCTGCTCCGGCGTCTTGCCCTTGATCATGTCGGCGATGGTCTGGCAGATGAGGTTCAGCAGGCCCTCGATCTTGAGGTAACTAGCGGCCGTGACGAGCGAGTAGAGCGTGCCCATGTCGACCAGCACGAACTCCCTGTCGAAGCGCTCTAGGTCCTCGCCCTCGGCCGGCGGAGCGGCCTCCGCCGCGGAAGAGCTCGAGCTCGCGGGGGCGTGCTTATTGCAGTACTCGAGCACCTTGGCGAGGGTCTTTGCGTCGACGTCGGGGAGTGTGATACCGTCGCCGCTAGCGTCGGCTCCGGCCTCGTCGATCATGCGGCGCACGGTCTGCGACAGCAACGCCGCCGCCTCCCTCACCTCGAAGCGCACGCTGTTGTCTGAGCTGACGAGCACGATCGTCTTCTCCCCGCTGCTGGTGCCGCCGTCGCCGCCAGAGTCCGCCGCGGCAGCCATCGCCGCCGCTGCTTGCCTCGTCAGAGTCGCCCTGGGTCGCCGGATAGGTGGCTTGGTGAGTTGGTGGTCTGGTCTCTCCTGAGATTTAGTACTCGGTAGAAGATTGGAAATCAGATTTAGTAGTAGATTGGATTATCGGAAATCAGGACGTGCCTCGGGGAAGCGAAAAGAGGCTCGTGAAGCGAAAATTGGAAATCAGGCCGTGACGGGCTGGCGGCCCCAGCTAAAATCTTGAAGTCGTTCGTGTCAGGTAAAAGAGTTTCTTCGAGCCACGCCCCACGCGAAAGACGGGCTGACCGCAAAATACTTTTTTTTTTGAGGGGACCGCAAAATACTTTTAGCGCTGTTAATGTTGATCAAGGTAATTCTTTACTTTAAAAAATGAGGTAATGGAAGATAGACTAATTATTGATTGTTGATGAATGTTGAATGAATACTATAAAATGGATTAGGAGATATGTTCTTCAAGAACCCTGTATATGTATTTGAGTATATATATGTTCATGAATTTTTATTAATTACATGTTTTCTGTGCATAAGTAATTAGAATCTCTAAGGGTTCGTTTGGATGTAGACATTGGAGACCGTAGAATTGAATTGGGTTTAATACCAAATTATCAATAGTATTGGAATAGCCCCAATTCAAATATTGTTGTTTGGATGGCCATTGAATCAACTTTTGGAATTCTATGAAGTAGGTCAAATCCATTTCCTGTTTGGATGCAAAAGCATGGACTTGAAAATCCTCTCCTCTCTCTCACACGTCCGAGGATCTCTGTGGCGGGTGGAGTTGGGCATAACTCGGGCGGAGGTCAACGGCGGCTATGGTAGGGTGATGCCTGGCGATGGCCATGGCGGGGTGGAGTCCCCTCGACGGTGGCCATGGCTGGTCAGAGCTAGGCGGAGCTCGGGCAGAGCGTGATGGAGGCCATGGTGGGGAGTAGTTGGGCACCTCTACTATGGCCATGGCAGGTTGGAGCTAGGTGGAGCTTAACGGAGGCCATGGCAGGGAGCTCGGGCAGAGTGCGATGATGGAGGCCACACGGAGGAGCTAGGCCCCTCGACGGCAGCCATGGCACACTGGAGCTGAAGGAGGAGGAGACCTCCGGATCGACGTTACCACCGGCAGATCGACAGAGACAGAGGAGCTCAGTTTGTTAACTTCAGAGACGAGGGTGGAAGATGTGGCAGAGCTTGGTCCTTCGGTCGTCGGAGACGGAGCAGGACTAGAGCGAAGAAGCTCAATCGCTGGTGTGAAAGACGGAGGAGCTCGGTCCATGTCCTCTCATGGACTTTGGGGTGAGGCTTCGTATTGAGGAACAGGGCATGGAGGTGCTGCGAATACCGGTTGGTATTGAACTTGATTTCCACTTTCGAATTCCAAACCACCCAATCAGCTGCATTCAGTGCTAGCCAATACCAATTCCAAATTCGGTGGTTGAATATCTACATCCAAACGCAATGTAAATGAAATAGTTCCTGCTATAGCTTACTATAGTTTTTTTATAGCTTTTGGAGGAGACTGACACTAAAAGGCTTAGCCCGCTATTTAAAACTTCGTACTTCAACACCCCATCCTTACTTATGCACCAAAGTGCCTAACAAAATGTTTGTCGCTAGCACATAGATTTAGTGCTAGTTTGAATCTAGAAGATGGCTGCCGAGCTAGAGAAAATATAGCCTAGACAATGTCAAACCATGTTGCCCCATTTGGTTCCTGCTCATTGCCGCCACCTAAGCATAGTTATTAGGACCGGACTAGATATCAAACCGGTTGAGATCTCAATTTACGGTTTGATTGGTTCAAACCGTTGAACCGCCCGCTCAAAGCCTTTAATAATAATAATAATAATAATAATAATAATAATAATAATAATAATAATAATAATAATAATAATAATAATAATAATAATACATGTATGCAAAACACAAAAGATTGTATAGCTCAGTGGTGGGAACTCTTCTTTGCACTTGGTGGCCTACCTTTTTTTTGTGTATTTTCACTTCCCACGCATGACTTGCTCCGCTCAGCGCGTCACGTTCGGTTTGTTAGCAACTCATTGGGGGTGGTTTTTATTGGTTTTTGAGGAAAAAGAACGGCGGTTCCATCGGTCTATTGCTAGTTTGATTGTATATCAATCTTTTAAGTGAATCGAATGATTGGGGTTCTACCGTTCTGGTTCCGATTTTTTCTGGTCGGACCACCGATTCGGCCTGTTTCTAATAACTATGCACCTAAGCCCTCAGTCAGTAAACAAATCTATCTGGAGGTGATGTGGTGGCAGGGCGGATTTTATCCTCACCTAGAGAACCCTTCTCTCCATTAGGTGTTATGGTGGTCTTGACTTTAGTGCTCGCTCAGGGCGCTAGGAATAGATTTCACGCCCTAGCTACTGATCTGTCGCCTCTACTGGCATGGTGCATATTGCCTAATCTCCTTGGTGGTGAAGTCAACAATAACCATGGTTTGTTAGTCTTAGCCGGGTGACCACCAATCTGCCATTGTGTTGCTCGTCTCTACTTTCCCCCAGGATCACTTGAGAGTGCATACCGCCTAATCTCCGTGGTGGTGCAGTCGACAATAGCTAGGTTTGTTAGTCTTAGTCTGGTGATAGTTGGTCGTCTCTTGGTGGTGTCAGGATGGATGCGTTGTTAGTCATGTCGGTGTACATGCAGAAATTCCAGGTTAATGGTCAGCGCCTGGGGAAGTGGCGGTGGGATTTGTCATCAGGGCCTAAGGCGATATTACTGTTAGAATGCACGGTTAGATCCAGACCCAAACGGATCTACCAACCAAAGGACATGGAAGCTTAAACATCATAGAGAAAATACGCAAGTGAGAACAATGTTTTAATAGTGTCAAACCTGACATCAAACATTCTTTAATATATAATGATTAATAGAACAATGTTGACAGTGTGCAATTACAATTCTGTAGTAGTCGTATACAAAGACCTTTTCCTCACGCTAGGTACTTCCTATTCTGTTGGATGAGCTTGTCGACTACAATGTTGTAGGCCTCCTCGGTAGGATGGAAGCCGTCCCAGAAAATATAATCGATTGCATTTGGACATGCATTGTGATATGCAATGAATACGGCAGCACTTAACACTGTGCTACCACAACAACCTTCTTTGACCTCCTTGAAACCTACATAATTGTGACACAATATTCAGTACAAAAATTATTCTAATGACAATATGTCAAATAACATCTCTTTAGGAAGAAGAGAAAAGACCAACTATCATCATATTACACATGATTTTTATTACATAGATCATGCAACTGCAAAGATTATTATTTGTCATATATTCTCCAGCTAAACTAAGTGCGTGTACCTACTTAATACAAAGAGTAGAACCTTCACCTAAAAGTATCTACATCCTTTTAGCGGTCAATTTTTAGATGGTATGCCAGTTATAAGATTTGTTGTCTAAATTTATAATTTAAAATTGTAAATGCAAGAATATCATGTTATTAAAACAAATGAAAACATAAAACTCACCATAAAAAACTGGATTCTGAATAAGGTCAAGTAAAATGTAGTATATATCAATATAAACAAACTTTGACCCATAACCATTCCATTCTGCATTTAGTCGATCTATTTCCTTTGAGATCTTTGAATTAAATAATACTGATGCTTGATTCCTTAGTGGCTTGCATTCCCTTGATGGACTTCCTCCAAGTATTATTTGAGATGGACAGCAGCCTAATGGTGGAACACCAACAACTCCAATTTTCTTAGTTCTCATATTGTTCAGAGTCTGTACAGAAATGGAGCATGAAGAAAATGGATTTTACTAATATAATCGCATGCCACATTGAACTTATAAATTAAATATAATCTTTTGTTTGCCAAAGATTAAAAAAGTCTATGTCTTGCATGTTTTGTGTAGCACAGTCATGTTGTAATAAAAACCTGTGTAGTGCATGCAGGGATAAATTCTACTGCAAACATAAGGGAATTAAAAAATGTCTAAATGCACAAATAAATTGTCAAAGTGTGATGAAGCTTTTATGAATATAGAGACGATGGAACATAGAAAAGACATATTAAAAAGTTTCATATAACTCATTCTCAAAGAATTTAGATATTCAAAATCGTAGCAATTACCATTGTGAAGTTGATAGCCGAAGAGACAAGAAAGTCAATATAAGAAGGAAGGTCATATTCATGGCGTCTTAAAGGAACTGCAAAATAGTTATTTACAATATCATTGGCCCCCATGATTGTAAAGAAGATGGCTTTAGAGATAACACGTGTCATCTTCTCCTCTCCAACAATAGCTGCTACCTTCTCCTTGTAGTCATGGGATAATTCAAGTTGCTCCGCACTCGACCTGGCAGTCTACATGCATTTGTATTCCTTGATTTATGGATATGGAGTGGTGATATTATTCATAGAAACAATTAATTCTATTTTCAGATTGTAATTACTTGATATGTGAAAAGAAAAGAAATGGTACTGAGAGCGTAGATGTGAGTGGATCATATCCACTGCCTCAAGAAGCAAAGGCCACACCAGTGAGTAGGCCATTTGGTTGAAGGTCGTCAGCAAGGTAAGGAGGCAGTAGTTCCTTAACACCCAACTTAGAAGCTGCTCACAAATAATTATAATAATATATATAATAAGAAAGAATGAAGTTTTATTAAGGATATAAATGGAGCTAGCTCTGACAGTATATATTTAAGAAATCAATCATATGCTTCATGATCAAACTAAAACTACAGATGCCTTAGCTCTGTTTTTCTACTTCGTGCTGTACACACATGTATTCACAACATACTATTGGCAAATATGGAAATCAAATCACCATTGGAATCAAGATTATCTAGAAAAAGAAAGAAAATGAGATGAAGAGGAGGGAATAAAGAAGAAATATGAAATCAAAATCCAATGGGGATCCACTTTGACAACTCCAACTCCGACAACCTCCTTTTCTTCTCTGATGACCATCTTGTCTTCTCTGGTGAAGAATCTAGCTCGGGTTAGAGTT